GAAAAAGAAGCTCATGGTCTTTTGTCTTTTGCCCATAGGATAGGCCTTTCTGTTGCTGACAGGGTTATTTTTTTTGCCACGCTCACAAAAATGTACAGACACTGCTGAGAAAGAGGTGAGCTGAGTGCCTGACARCATCAGTTCTCTGCTGACAGAAAGGTGCTGGAGCTAGTCCAGAGAAKGGCAGCAGAGTTGGGAAGGGTCTGGAGAGTCAGTCCTGTGGGGAGCAGCTGAGGGAGCTGGCYGGGCTCAGCCTGGAGAAAAGGAGGCTCAGGAGAGACCTTCTCCTGACAGSAGGGTACAGCCAGGTGGGGAGCAGGCTCTGCTCCCAGGGAACAAGAGACAGGACCAGAGGAAATGGCCTCAGGTTGTGCCAGTGGAGGTTCAGGCTGGACATCAGGAAGAATTTCTCATGGAAAAATTTGTTAAAYATTGCAGTGGGCTGCCCAGGRAGGTGTAGAATCACCATCCCTGCAGGTGTTCAGCGAGTGACTGGATRTGGCACTGAGTGYTCTGGTCCATTGATAAGCTCGTGATTGGGCAAAGATCAGATTCAATGGTCTCAGAGGTCTTTTCGAACCTAAATGATTCTCTGATTCAAATGAGCATGCACTGATAGGAAATTAAACACAAAGGTACCTAGAGAGCAAAACTAATGCATTGCTCACCCGTGGGTGAAAACACCCAGCCTGGGGCAGAAGGGAGGGAATCTCCTGCTGCAAGACTTGTCAGAAAGCTCAGAAAAGCCTCTCTGGGCTTCCAAGACCTGTTAAAGGTGTCAATCCCAACAGCAACAGATGCTGAAATACACAAGGGGGAACAAACTGACAGGTGATGTGAAATCACTGGTGAGGTGGTCACCTATTAGGATGAAGAGACCCGGAAATATCCCCTTAGCTGGTCAGTGTGTGTCACKGTAATTTATATGATATTGCTATAAACTATACAATCAGGATTCACATTAAATTAGGWCCAGTAATGGTCTCAGTGTTGACTGCTGAGTAAATCTGGGGTGTACCCAGGGGTCCTTCTTGTGATGTAGTGACCCAAACTCAATCTCAGAATCATCAGGTRGGTCCTTGTAACCCAAAGCCCCTGGAAAAGGGTCGCAGTGTCCTCTGTGGGCCAGGACATGTGGAAGTGTCCATGTGAATACAGTCTTCACCGGGGCCCAGGGGTCAAATCCTGAACTGGTCATGGTTGCAGCCTCTCCTCAGGAGCTGGGATCACCTGTATGGAGCACAGCTGGCCAGAGCCACTCTACATGGCAAGCCAGAAGCACAGGATACAGCAGATGACCAAATGCTCAMCTTAGAGGGACTCTGGTGGAGGACATAAGGAAGGGGTTCTCTGGATCCACAGGAGCTGTAACTATTTAACTGTTCTGAAATTAATCCATTTCCGTCTCCCCGTTCTATTTCATGCTGTGCTGCTTTCTCCTAAGGCAAAGGTTAAATTCCTCCATGCTGACTCAGAAAGGAAAGCTCTTCCCAGCTGCAATCCACAACCCAGCTCTGCAGCACCTCCTGCTTTCCCTGGGAAATGGGTTCATTCATTAGGACAAGGCTTCATTTTCACAAGCTCACATGTCACCTCCTAGGGGTAAAAAAGTGTGGAGCAGGAATGTCACAGTGTGTGGTGGCACGAACACAGTAACCTGAGTACCCACAGCAATTTAGGATGGCTGTGTGCCACAGCTGAGGGAAAAGGGACAACAGGACACTTGTGAATCCCCAGGTAGAGAGGACATTCAGCAATAAASGACTAAGCGAGCCATAAATAAAAGTAAATAAATAAAAACGAGCAAGAGCGCACTACTCAACAGGACTAACTCCACTACAAACTATACACAGGTTAGGAAGGTGTTGGATAAAAGTCTGTAGAAATCTTGGTGCACTTCTAAGGATGATTGTTCTAGCAGAAGTACAGCCACAGCTCATTCAGTATTCTCTGTTTTTATCCTTGTTTTCTTTTCCCCCATTTTTTGTGTGAAGGACATGAGATAAGGGAACAGGGAGGATGTCACATGAGAACTTGTGGTGGAAGAACACAGCTCCAGATAGGATATGGCCCAGGCACCAGAATTTGTGTCTTATAAAGAAGTTATAAGGGAGAGGAGAGGAAATACAGGCACATATTCAAAGCTCATTTCCACGCTTGAGTCACCTCTCTGTCCTTCCCTCCTGTTGTGAAATATTTAGAATTTACTGCAAATATTTAAAGAAAAAAAGCCCATGCAAACAGTTCAACCCCTGCCCTTTTAAATTAACCAGTGCAGCAAAGCCAGGAGGGCAAAGGGCCGATAATGACGAACACAAGGAGCTGGGTTAGACCTGTGACCATCCTAGGAACTCATTCCTGGGAATATGAAGCAGCAGCTGTACTTTAGACTGGCACAGCCCTCTCCTGCAYGATCCTGCCGGCTTTGTTTAGTCAAAGAAACAGGACTGTGCACGTTTAGAGAGCCCACAGGCTGTGSTGCACTGGGTGAACGGGTGTTTGTGTGAGACAGACCGGAGGGCTGTGCTTTGGAGACCAACAATCTGCATCTTCATCTGTGTGGCATGACCCAGGCAGCAGAACTTCCTGCTCTTAGAACCACCCACTGCAGTTCAAGCTTCCCGTAAAAACAGGCTGCAGGACAAGGTCCGAGTGTTCTGCTCCCCTTGCAGTGAGATTGGCAATATTCAAGCACAGGGATTGATAGGAAAGATAAAGAGCATTCAGTCTGGAACTGTGGGAAAAGCTGCCTGAAAAACAGGCACAATCCTAATAAAAGTGTGCATCTCCTGGCTGCTCCCTCACCTGGCCAATGCCTGCACCACCTCACTCCCAACATCCGCAGGAACAAAGGGCGTCAGGGCTGCCCAAGCATGAAACTGAAATGAGAAGTTAATTAAAAAATGTTGAAAAATCCTTCTCTGTGTCCCTTTTCCCTGCACCTGACCGTGTGTGTGTGTGTGTACAGCTCTCCGACTCTCCTTAAAAAAACTATTTTAGAGACGTGTTTAATGGGATAGAGACAACCCAATYTTACCTGTCAGCAGTTTTCCTTCATGACTGAGCAGACATGGTACAAATTCACAGCTACTACGTAAATTGTCAGCCAACTGGAAGGAAAAAAACCCTAACATTGCCTGTAGCACAGTTCTGCTATCAAGGCAGATGCTGAATTTGGAATCAGAGTCTGATCTTAAGGGCTTGTCATACTGTTCTGCAGAGATGTGATTTAAAAACGTTACTTAAAAAGGGAAAAAAAAGAAAGAGCATCTTAAAAGATGATGTAGCCATACTGAACTGAAAGCATCAGGGAGTGGTTCAAAAATCCATGCAGAAACTGATTGCTGGAAAAAAGGAAAATGGATTCCATCAAGCCTGAAAACCTGATGTTGGAGGCAGTTGCTGCAGAGGCTCCAAAATTAACCCAGGCTCTCACAGGCTGCAGGAACATGGCCTTTCTGTACTTCACAAGTGCCCAAGAAAATAAATCCTACCATTATCTACAATATCATTTTTCCATCAGAGCCCAAGAAGCTGATATTTTACCCACTGGTTTTTACAGGGTATAAAATATATAAAATGAATGTACCTGTGTTTGATTAAGTAATTTACCCTACTTTTCCCTATCACAACCGTGCTATGGAATGTGAGAGCTCTGTTCACCCCTCACATGTGCTCACTGCCACCAAGGGAGGCGAGGCTGCTCTGCTCAACTAAACGGAGCTCAAGCAAAACTGAAATCAGGCTTGTAACAATTTACTTCGGGACAGCTCATGTTTTCACTCTGAAAACATCATTGACTTGTCAGGTTTCTCTCAGGAAAGGAGAGACATTTTAAAATTCCAGCAGAGTCTTAGTAACTTTTAATTCTCTATTAAACTTGGTGTTTCTTGAATCACAATGATGGGTGCAACCACAACTCTGCCAGATGAATGCAGAGATTTTTGTATCACAGCTTAGTCTCCAGGATTTGGGGTCTCCTAGCTACTTAATGAATTTTTGGTTTGGCTTTTCATTTATTGTTTTTTTAATTCAGCCAGAGCTAAAAAGAGACAGTTCCATTTGAAACAAGAAGCTTCATACACTGCCTTAACCCAACGTAACTCAAGGCCCAAATTACAGAATCCCAGCTGTTTTGGTTACTATTTCTGTGCAACAAACCTGCATTTTCAAAACCACAAGTGCTAAAACTGTAGGTTTCCACACCTGATGGGGCACCCTAGGCCAAAGGCAGCCCAAGATGATGAAATTACAGAGCTGTGTCTTAAAAAAAATTCAAAATTCTTCATCTTGGAACCACTTGTATGCAGCTTGAACCTGACTGCACTCAGTAACACCCAGTGACAGAACAAGGGTTAATTGGCAGAAGCCAGAATATGGGAAATTTTATCCTAACACARGAAACCCTTTTCACTGTGAGAGTGATTGACCCCTGGAAAGGCCTGCTCAGAGGGAATGGAAAAGCTACRAACCTCAGTCCTGGGTGAGCAGCTCTGGTTTACCTGCTGGGACAGGCTTTGATGTGACCTCCGGCAGCCTCTGCTATTCCCCCATTTGGTAACACAAAGAATGCTCCTACGTGAGATTATCCCACAATTTCCCAACTTTCACCAGCCCCACTTCCACAGACTCAGTGTTTGCTCAAGGCTGTGTTAGCAGACCTGGAACTACACCCAAACTCCAATCCTTGCCTGGTGCTGAGCAAGCAAAAAGTATTCAAAGGAGAAGAAAGACCATGATTTAAGAGCCTTCGGATGCTACATTTTTATTACACAGTTTATAATTGCCATTATAATAATGGAGGCACAGTCTTAAAAGAATAAGAAACGTGAGACAACATGTTTTGAGATGCAAAGAACTGTAACAGGCCTACATTAACATTCCAACCAGCATTCCCTTCTCCACTCTTCGTCACTGAAACTGAATAACAAAAATTCTCCCCTTTATAACATTTTATTGGCAGCTCTAAGCAAAAAAAAAAAAAAGCACAGTTTTTAATAAATAAGTGTTTTCTTGCTTCTATTGTGTTCTGTCAACTTCACATTCTGTTTTTTCGTATAAAATTTCAAGTGTTTTAAATGCTTTTAAAAAGTTTAAGTAAGTTTGGTAGGATTCAAAGAGCAGTTTTTAAAGCCTGGAGTATATGTACTTTTTTATTAAATAGAGCACAGGTTTATAAATAGCTAGATACAGAAAACAATAAAATAGACAAAGAAGTAATACAATAWTGTTTGTAACTGAGTGTTTCCAAGTGATTTCTGAATCCAAACTCTCCAACAGGAGCAACCTATTTACATACTAAAACATTTACATTTGGGRAAACATTTAGCTCCCATACATGATTCCACTTGCACTGTACATTCAAACTGAAAGATATTTTGGTTCTTCAACRTAAAGCACCTTTTGTAGTATTTTAATCACAAGATGAATATCGTAAAAGTCATTATCTCACCTTTGGGGAGTGTTGGACAGAGAATCTGCTTTCAAAGATCTGCATTTATTACAACCACCTTGCCCCCACCCACCCTTGGGCTCAGTTATTTCCTCTCCCCAGAGCCTGATCCTCTGGCTGGCCCTACAAGCTGCTCGCACATCCCTCCCAGACAGCAGCAGCTGCTCCTTATTCCCTGATATTCTTCCTGCACTTCATTAAGTATCTTCATTAAGTATCTTTTTGGAAAAAGAGCCTTATTTTGCTGTACCTGGATTAAGCACTGCCCCTGGATCATTTTCTGGAGCTTCACATAAAACAATAAAGCCTAGAAAAACATCTGTGTTGGGAAAAAGTTGGGGTAAAGCCATAAACACTCAACCTAACACAACATTTGGACAACAAAAGGTTGAAGGCAAAGTGCTCTAAAAAAATATTTGGAAATAGTTTAATATGTTCTTCATGCTGCTTCATCTACCAAGCAGGAGTTAAATCCTGAATTACCTCCCTGTTTCCTGCATTGGAGGGCCATGTGTCATTTCCATGCCATCCATTCCACAACCAGCAGTGAAACTGCAGCAGTGAGTGAGACCACACACAGCACAGACAGAAAGATGTAAACACCTCCGTTTCACCTGCCCAGCCATGCCAAGAACACCAAGGAGGAGGGYGGATAAACAAAACAACTGAAATCTTTGCATGATTGTGAAGCATTAAAACTCATCCTAACATGACCAAACAGCTTTGGGTAACAACCTGATCTGTAAGAACAGCTCTGCTGCTGCAAAGTGAGAACAAAATCTCGTGGAATGGCTTTGCAGTGATGCATCTCAGCAGGTAACAACACTACATATTACATACAGCTACCATCTAATTTATAAAAATACTCTGTATTCATGTAGAGATAGTAAGAACCCAAATGCTGCTACAGAAATATTTTGTTTCTTGAACCAGGCAGCAGCACATGATGCTGCTCTCCTCACTGTAATACAGGTACCCTGATTTCCTAACAGCACATCCCCCAGCACAGCCCTTCTGCTCTCACACAATGGATTTTTCTGGTAGTTCCCAGATAAAATGCAAGCGCTGTTTACTCAGGACTTTTTACATACACAATCTATGCCCTGACATCAGCCTTTGAGTTAAAAAGCAGAGCATTAGAGAGAGAATCTCTCTATCTACACCAAACTGAGTATTTTTCCTCTACAAGTACAACTGGTACGTGTTTACATCATGGACTACACRCTTCATAATGAAATTCAACATTATTGAACCCAGCAATTGCTGCCAACAGCCACCTCAGCAGCAGATGTGGAGACAAGGTTCACTGAGTAACAAACAGGTGACCAGCTACTGGCTGATGAGCATCTCTGCTTCTCACTGAGGAGATTTTTGACATTAATGATTTCATGATCAAAACCTGYATTTTGATATTGCAGTAATAAATGCCAGCTGTCTGAATTCACAAYGCCTGGATCTGCAGAGCCCAAGCAAATGGAGTTTGGATCGATCAATGGAGTGATTCTGGGCCATTCCTGGAGTACAGACACTTATCTTTACAAAGCAAGCCTGAACTGTAAAGATTTCAAAGGCAGTCTGTGTGACAAACCCCCCTGTTTCATTTCAGGAGTGCCAGGAGATTCTGRTGGTGAGCACTGAGTGCGCTGCTGCTCCCTAAAGCTGAACACGTTGGCTGTTACCACCTCACACSGATATTGCATTCAGGCGTTGCAGCRGTTTTTGGCTTGGGAGAGRCTGGRAATGAGCAAACCTTCAGGCAGACAGTCTCAGGAGCAGGGGTGTCCTGGGGCAGGATGTGCAGAGCTCACTGTGGGTACAATCCCAAATCTCCCTGTTTTCCACCGTACAGGAATCCGGATTACACGGAGATGATGTGAAGCTCGGAGTGTGAAAAGCTSGAACCAGATGTCGATAACAAGAAAAGGCATTTGAGAGGAACCATTTTTTGGCAGAAGGCAGGCTGTGGAAGTGAGAGGGCTCTGGAGTAAGGCACATCTCTCTGCAAACAGAACCTTCAGTACTTTGCAGATGCAAATTCACAATTTTTTTACACAGTACTGAACTCGACTATGCATAAAATAGCCTGGTATAAGACTGGGAAATCAGTTTCTGGTTCCTTGGTTTCCTTAATTGTATTTTGACAATTTGCCAAAATAAATGCTATACTGCAAGCTCCATGGAATGGGAACACAGCCTTGTTTGTGAGCATCAACAGCCCCRCATCAGATATTTTTGGTAAGTCTAGATTAAAAACCACAGAAGACCCTGGAAAGTCACTGCAAAAACTACCTCTACACTGAAGAAGAAATGCATCTAAAAGACCTCCACAAGGATCAGTACATGCACAGACCTCGCAACARCTGTTCTGGTTGTGCCTTTTGCTTCAGGGTTTTTTTGTTTGGCCTTAGTAGAGGTGGGAGGAGCAAGTCTTTCATAAAGCTGTGTCATCATCTTCTCCAAAATCCCCCACCAGCAGCGAGTGTTTGTCTGGCTCACTGAGGACGATGCTGTTGACTGAACGTTTATCTGAGAACAGGGAGTTGATGGAGGCTCTGCTGTAGTTGATGATTCGATCCATCAGGCTCAGCTTAGGGGAGCCAGTGCCCAACTCATCAATCCCCACATGGACACTGATCTCCGACGGGCTCTTGTGCCTCATCTGGCCACGGGCACGGAACTCCAGCTTCTCAGAACTTGGTTTGTGGTACCTAAGGACRGAAAAACCCAAATGGAACAATACCTCTGAGACTGAAGTACACTGAAAGATGGATAGAAACTTTATGATCCTGCACAACACTGAGACATTTAAAATTGGTTTTATATTAGAAACAACAAGGTTTCTCTCAAATACAAAAAGGCCACTAAAGAATTTCCCATTCTGAACACTTCTGATTTGAATACTTCTGGTCTCTTCACATTAGAAACAACATTTTTCAACTACTGACTTGCCTGAATTGTTCTTCAGAAGGCTTCAGAATCTCTCACAGTCCTACATWTATTTTCTGCCACTCAAAGTAAAAGACCCAAGCTTCAAATCTGAGTTACAAACCACAAGACTGTCCCTACTCACATCTTTAAGAGCAAAGAAGAAAGCACCACAGAGACYGAGGAGGCAGCCATGGCTGCAGATCCCATCCAGGGCTGCAGCACCAAACCAATGGGCAGGAAGACACCTGGAAAATTRAAGCAGCAGTAAGTTCAGAGCAGGAACACTGCATTATTGAGGTATACAATTTCACACGGACTGTCTAGCTTTAGTTGCATTTCAATGTGTTAATAAATAGGATTTTAGTTTAAATGAGCAATATTTAATACATTAGGATTTGTGGTTTATCTCAACTAGAACCTCAGGTGAATGCACACCTGGATGTGCCAGTCGCAGTCTAAAACTCAGAGGTGGCATGTCCTGCCCACCCTACAGGAAACTGCTTGTTCACAGGATCAGGCTTTCAATAAACTTCTATCCTCAAGTTACTTCATTGYGCTGAGCACATCCATAGTAGCCACAGGGTGGGAATACAGCTCACAAATATTCCACTGCAAAATCCCCAGGCAGAGAACTTTGCCATTACTGACAGCCAGAAATAAAGACAATGGAAACTCTCCCACACACCAGTAAATCACTGCAATCTTCTGCTCCCTGAGCCCAATCCAATTAGTGSAGGCAACACTCACACACCTGCAGCTATGGGAACTCCAATGAGATTATAAATCAGAGCAAAGACAAAGTTGATCCGGATCCTCTTCACGGTTTTCCTGGATAAATCTATGCTTGCTACCACATCCATCAGGTCATCCTGCAAGTTAAAATGTTCATTGGAGCAGAGAAACAGAAAACACACATGTAGTTTCAGCATAATGCTGTTTTACAGCTCACTACAGTGCCCTGGATGGAACAGGCTAAWCACAGGAAGCCCTCTGGAGGCTGCACAGCCCAGTCAGTGCCAATCTTAGTCCAGAGATAACATCCACAGCACCTCACAGACAGCTCCAAACACTGACCACAGGCTGCCACAGTGTTGCTGATACATAAGAAGTGATTTTAAGTTTGCTGTGGTGMATTATCCAAATGCAATTTATGTTTGCCAAAGCACACGTCACTTTCTCCTCCTTTACCCACTCTCAAATTGTAATTACCCCAAAATGTGCAGTACCCAGAAAACTTGAAAGTTTCCTTCAYGGGATAATCACCATTGCACTAAATAAACACAATGAGGACAATCTAGGTTACAGTTCTCCTGGCTTATGGAGATTGTGCACCTCTGCATGACCCAGGACAYCCCAGCCTTCCGACCCCTCTATCAGCCCCTTTGACTCTGCGTGCTTACCCTGATGAGAACCACATCAGCTGCCTCGATGGCCACATCCGTRCCCGTGCCAATGGCAATTCCCACGTTGGCCATGGCCAGGGCAGGGGAGTCGTTGATCCCATCTCCAACCATGGCCACCCGCTTCCCCTCATCCTGCAGCTGCTTCACTTTGGCCACTTTGTGCGAGGGGAGAACCTCTGCAAACACTTTGGTGATGCCAACCTGAACACACAGAGGACACAACTGAGCTCAGCTTTTCCAGCAGCTGTCAACTGTTATTGCTCATGAGCTAAAGACCAAATGATGCTCCATTCTTGCATTCTCTCCTTGTTGGTGACTGAGATATGAACTTTGTTTAGGGGGCTTTTGCATGCAAAGCTGTTTATTGTAAAAAAATTTTGTATTTTGTAAGAATTTAAACAATTAAAAATTAATTTTTATTCACATACAATGTATGTAGCAATGGGCAAAGTTTGTTTTTTGTGGGGTTTTTGTTTGTTTGCATTTTTTTTGTTTTTTCTCATGGCTTTAGTTTCTGTGAACTGACTTTTCTGTATTTAATTGTATCTATTTACTTAGGAGTTTTTTAAGGCAAACAGATTTCCGCTATCCAAGGCCTGCACCCCTACACCTCCTTATTCCAAATCTTTTTAAATGACCATCTTTCACACCAGACCAGTTCTCAGCCAGCCACCAGCAGTATCAACATACAACACCACCCTTCCTGCTGAATCCAGCTCCAGACCCAGGCACAGGACACCAGCTCACCTGAGAGGCGATGGACCGGGCTGTTTTACTGTTGTCACCGGTCATGAGGACAACTTCTAACCCCATGCTCTTCAAAGTGTACACTGCCAGCTCAGCCTCCGGCTTCACAGTATCTGCAATAGCTATCAAGCCACAGAGCACTCCTGAAAAAAAGAAAGAAAGCATTTGTAATAAAGATCTCTGTTGATTTAGGGAAAAAAAAAAAAGTAACGTCTTCCTCCCAGTAAGACCAGCTCCAGAACCAGTTAATATTAGCAGTAAAAAGTGGAATGASAACAGGTGTAGGGGCAGCAAGATTTAAAGCAATACAGAGCATGTAACGTCCAACCACAATAAAAATATAACCAACCCACAGTCCATTTTTTCTTCCTTCCTGCCCCTTTGCTTTCATTGAAATCTTTGCAATATATTATTATGCCCAACTCTCTTGTCTACTAAGAAAGGCAGGAAGAGCCTTTTGTAAAGGCTGATGTAAACTGATCAAGGATCTCTTTTCATCTCATTACTCTGCTTTAGGTACAGCTGTTATGACATCACTACTTACCAATTTCCATTTAGGTGACATTTTATGTGATATTTAGTGACAATTCAAGCTCTGAACAAAGCAGCATCCATGAACTCACCATCCACAGCTGCCAGAACAGCYGTGCGGCCTCTCCGCTCGTGTTCCATCATGGCTTTGTCCACCTCACTTCTCACCAGGAGTCCATTCCTGGTCATCCATTCCCGGTTCCCAATGAGAACTGAGTATTTCTGAGAGGTCACAGTAGCTGAAGGAAGAAAACACAACCCTACCATCATGTGGATAAGCAAGGAGCTTCCCTGCAGCTCATTTCAGTACGCACTGAAATGCCATTGCAGGGAATCCAAACAGAAATAAAGAATCTCCCAATACTTTCTGCCCTACCAATGCCTTCATGTGTCCTTCACAAAAGAGAACCAACATTTCTCCAGCCCTGGGGAGTTACTCCATGTCAGAGGGCCAAAAACCCCAGGCCAAAGGACAGTAAGGAACCAAGTCCCCATCTCAGCACTTCTAATTTCTAACAACAGCTCAGTGGAGTTAAAACAACTAACAATGAGCTGTTCTTGAGAGAAAACTAATGGGTTATGCAAATACACACAATTCTGGCTAGCTAATGGTAACTTGGGATGAAGCAAAGYAAAACCAGAGAGAGCTGATTTTCCAGTCCCATATTCAACGTGCAACTTAAAAAAGTATTTAATTTAAATGTTCCGAGGGATGTGTGAGCACAAAATAAACTAATGAGTGACTATTTGATGTGTGCCTTATGTCACCCCATTTCTCCAAGGCCGAAATAAGTGACCTTGCTCTTAAGATCCCAAAGACACAAAAGCAAAATCTGTCTATTTTATTCTCTAACCCAGAATTAACTTACTTGGTAGCTCAGCATCAATGATCAAAGCAGGCTGCACTGATTCGTCTGCATTCTCCTCAATTTTCACAAGKGTCACATTTTTAACATTATTTTCTTCAACCATTCTGTTTTTCCTGTACAGTAATGCTTCAATATTGGTGACTTTGCAACTGATGCCACAGCCTGGAACTACCTGAAAATCTGTACATGTCCCAAGGGTTTCTGAGTTCAGTTCCTAGAAACGAAAGGATAGAAACTGATGAAATTTTGAAATATATACAAGCACGATGCAATTACAAAGCCCACAAAACAAAGTGAAGTTGACCAAAGAGGAGGGAAATAATCATCAAAACCTGAATGGTACATTTAAAAGGGTGTGATTTATGTGGCTCCACAGCTTTCAGCTTTCCCAATTAAATATAGCAATTACTCAATATGTGTTTATTATTAGTCTGGTATTTATGAAGCACTGCAAGGGAGGTTTTACCCCAAGCAGAGAGCAGTTGTGGTGTGGAATCCCCTCACCTTTTTGCAGTACTTTGTGATGGCTGCTCCGAGGGGGTGCTCGCTGCTGCTCTCCGCTGTCCCCACGATCGCCAGCATTTTGTGACGGGRGAGTTGGTTCCCCTCCACCAGGAACTTCACCTGCATCACTTCTGGAGTCCCGTGGGTGATGGTCCCTGTTTTGTCAAACACAACCACCTTCACCTGCAAGGAAACAGGAAGATTTAATTCCACAAACCCAGCATGGAGGAACAGATTCCTTGGAAAACCACCCCCTTTAACCAAACRTATGAACACAGAATGATTGATCTGACGTAGCACGGAATATCCCGAGCTGGACGGACCCTCCAGGATATTCCAGGAGCTGCTCCAAGCACAGCTGGCAAGGTGCCCCAYCCCAATGCCCTGGTGGCACAGCCCCAGTGCTCACCTTGTGTGCCATCTCCAGGGGCTCCCCGCCCTTGATGAGGATGCCGTTCTGAGCCCCCACGCCCGTGCCCACCATGACAGCAGTGGGGGTGGCCAGGCCCAGGGAGCAGGGACAGGCAATGCACAGCACCGTGATGGACGCCTGGAAAGCGAAGCGGATGATCACCTCTGCTGCTGAAATGCTCTTGTTGTAGCCCTGGGGACGGAGTGGTTTGATCAGGGAAGGCATTGAACAACAGGAACAGCACATTCAACTACACACTGCAGCTTTTCCGGCCTCCAAGGCAGAGTTATCAGCTGAGTATTCATATTAAAGCATAAGCAAACTATGCAAAACCTACGATTATTAATTAAATTAGTGGCTAATTAACCAGCTTCTCTTCTATATTCCATCTACCCTTAACTGTTTTATTTATAGGCTATTTTCCTAAACAAGACACCACATGCTACAACTCTTTAATGATGCACTTGTAATAAAAGAGACTCTATTAAAAACACATAATGTGAGGGGGAAAAAAAGCAGATGTGAAAATGGCTTTCCCGGACACTAATAAATTCTAATAAAAAATAGTCCTGAAACAAGAAATCTGTGATCTAAGCAACCCTCGAATCTAAGTTGAGATCCCGACTCTCCTCTGGAATTTGTGATGAAATTGAGTTCCACTGATTCCCAAGATGCATTTACACAGAGCTATACTAACAGAGCCAGATGCAAAATTGGAACTTGTGACAGGAGAGAATTTTTTTCCCACAGAGGAGGGATGGATGGTGGGAAATTTTTTTGTTACATTTAAGATGTACTTCTTTTAATTAACTTTTTTCTTAATCCTGACTTTCAGGAGTTGATTAATTACTGTGGATTCTCTTTAAGTATAAATGCAGGAGTGACACAGTAGAAAAAAAATGCATAATGTAAAAAATGTAGTAAGAGCAGTAATAGCAACTGCCTGCAAGGATAATCCAGAAAGGGAAGCACTGCAGTCTAATAGAATTGGAAAGCTGTTTATTAAATATTTCAGAAGGTGTTTAAGGAGATTTACTTACCAGAAAGTATTTTTCCACTATTTCAAAATCCACAAATCCAATTATAATCCAGGCAAAAAGGGTAACCACAGAGACAGCCACAATAAAAGGCACAAAGTAGCCACTAAGTTTGTCTGCAAATTGCTGGATGGGAGCCTGGGAAGGAGAAACATCAGTCAGCACCATCATGTTTGCTCTCTTCTGCACCTTCAGACATAACCCCAGCTGCTGCCTGCAGCACACTTGGCTTGCCACACTTCATAATTACACATTTACTTAATATAGAGGATGCAACTCGGCACAGTAGACTGGATCAAAGGCCTTATTCAGCAAGAGACTTCATTATGCAGCTGCAATTCAAACCCAAACAGTCTCAGCCACCCCTCCAGTGATTTGGTGTGCTGGTGTCTACATGAGACAGCAAAACTCAAGTGCCACATGTGATGAGACCCTACCTTTGAGGTCTGGGCCTCCTCCACGAGTTTAACAATCTGGGAGAGGGTGGTATCAGCTCCCACGTGTGTGGCTGAGATCAGGAGGGAGCCGTTCTGATTGATGGATCCTGCAATCACCGTATTGCCGGGCTTCTTGGTCACAGGCATGGCCTCACCTGGGGAAGGGCAGTAACACACACAGCACTGCTGACAAATGCACCTTTGGGACAGCTTCCAGCCCCTGACAAGGGACAGCAGCAGCTCCAACTCCCATCTGTGGGTTTGTTTAAAGGAAAACATTTTAACGTTTGGGAAAAGCAAATACTGACCTGTGATGAGAGACTCRTCCACCATGGAGTGTCCTTCAATAACACGACCATCCACTGGGAATTTGCCTCCTGGGACCACCTTGACAATGTCACCTCGCTGAACCAGTTCCACATCGACTTGCTCCTCACTGGAATGGCGCAAATGTTTTGTAAGAGATTGGAACTGGAGTGATCCTAGTACTACACACAAAGCATAACCCCACTGGCTGGCATTAATGAATACAAAAATGAGCAGTAGGAAGTCATAGTGCTATTTGAAATGGCCTATTTTATCACAATTTTATTTACTTTCCAGTTAAGAAAATCCACTCTCATCACAGCAAAAAAATCGGCAATAAAACAATAAACCAATAAACCAAAGCAAGCAATGTTAATYGTTCTGTATTTTAATATTTTTATCTGCCAGCAAATCTGAAGTTATTTGCTTCATAGTTCTATAGGATAGTAAAATTTGTCTGTGAAAGAAGTACAGTAACAACAAAAAAGGAGTAACAGAAAAAGCAAATGACAAAGCAAGATACCTTAAAAGAACGTTATCAGGGCCCAAGGTAACAATAGTAGCTTCAGTAGCTTGTAATGAAATTAGTCTTGCCAGTGCTTCTGAGGTTTTACCCTAGAATAATAATTTTCATATTTTTCTGACTATTCTATTGAGAGAAMAACTGGGTAAATGACAACTGTGTGTGTTGCAATTTACCCTCTTAAGAAAACACTTTCCACAAACAGACTGCTATTAAGTCATACTTTCATGAGTGCAGTTACTAAATGATTTTACAAAACACAAGGCTAAAAAAAACCAGCAAAGCTTTTGCACGGGGTGTTTTTCACAAGGTACACAACATTCTGAAGGGATTCTCAGTGCCTTGGGCTCCTCTTGTCCTCACCTTTGCCACGTGCTCCAGCCAGCGGCCCAGCGAGATGAACACRAACAGCATGGGCGGCGTGTCGAAGAAGGTGACGGGGTTCACCTTGGCCTTCTCAGCCATTGCCACCAGCAGGATGACAAAGGAGTAGAGGAAGGCAATGGAAGTGGCCAGCACCACGAGCACATCCATGTTGGCAGTGTTGTGCCTCAGTGCTCTGGAGGCCTGGATGTAGAAGTGCCACCCTCCAAACACCTGCAACGGCATGTCACACACATCTCCAACACACAGCAGCATCTTTTCCCTTTTATTGGTGTTATTTGCTTCTTCCTGAACAAAATCCCAGCTCTAGCTGGGGCTGTGGTCTTTCTACAGCACTCTTAGATATTCCCAGTGTCCTCCCAGTGGGATTCAGGAGCTGCCTCAGGTGCACAGCCCCTTCTCCACCCACCCCTGACAGTCCCCAGCACCCATTTTGGCAACAGCAGATGCACACAACAACCTCAAAAGCATTTTATATCAGCATAAAAACATTCACTTTAATTTTGCATCAGCATAATTACATTCACTTTTCAAACTTGATTTCTTCATCACCTTCCATTTTGAGCATTTAAGCAGAACAAAGCAGGAGTTGCCAWAACCCCACTTACCTGTACAGGGACACAGAGTAAAAACGACAGGAAATTCATGACAGACAGTCCTGGCAGGAGCTGATATTCCAGCACCATGGAGGAGTGCAGGGCCTCCATCTCCTCACTGCTCATGTTGTGATGGGCGTGAGCCTCYGAGAGCTGGCTGTCCATCACCATCATGTAAATCATCAGCCCCATGACAGGGATACAGAAAACCAGGCTCACCACAAAAGACCTTTTCCACCTCAGATTTAAAAGGAGAGAAAAAAAGGAAAAAGAACTGGTATTGCAGTCAAGTGCTAGAGAATATTTTAAGTAGTAAGTCTGCACAGTCACCAAAAAAAAATCATAAACTGATGGTTGATTAACAAAGAAGAATCAAAGATATTTAAGGAATCTTTGTATCTTCAGGAATACTTACTGCCTGATTTCCTGTTTGTGATCCAGATGACTGGCAGATCTGTCCTTTTTAACTAAGGAAGTAGTAAAACCTAAATCCTAAGGAAAAAAGCACAATAATAACAAAAGAGAACAGTCAGTTCTAAAATACATTCATGTTCAGTTATTTACTCATTACTTATGGTGCCAGTCTTACCTTTGATCAAYTTTATTAACATTTCTGATATGAAATGTTACTGCTGTCTGGTACTATTGTATAGTTACCTTGCAAAAAGAGAAAAGCAATCTGATGAAGAAATTAACCTTTCAGGAATAAAATGCTGTTCTAAAATGTGGCTTTCCAAAGTGGCTGTTCCTAAAGTGCAGAAGTAGAGAAATGGAAGGAGAAAGCAGAGAAACTGATTTCACCTTTCACATGCTGCAGTACTTTATTTTTAACTAAATGTACTTTAGTTTTCTATAAATCTATAGCTGATATCTTCGAGTCTACCATGATCTGGCCTTTACAGTATTTGTTTAAAAACTTAGCCAAAGCTGTAACAGAGCATTTTTGAGCCAGAATACACAAATGAGCTGCAGAAACCTACACTAAGAAGAAAGCAGATAGAAGAAAATAAATCTATTTTTAGCTTTAACAGCCTTCTATTTCTGGGATGTGTAACTCTTCCAAGGACAGTGGATTTTTTTGAGACTTGGTGCCTYCATGAAACTCACCTTTATCACTTGGATGACATCTCGAGGACCAATGGCCTCAGGGTCATATTTGATGTGGGCTTTGTTGGTTGCAAGAGCCACYGAGCAGTACAGCACCCCGTTGGTCTTCATGAGGGTGGATTCAATTTTGTGCACACAGGAGGCACAGGTCATMCCTCTCACCTGTAAAATAAAGGTTCCTTCCTGTTAGCAAAGCACAGGTTACCTGGMAAATGCATCTTAAAAAGTAGGAAAAGTGTTTGTGACTGTGCTGCATCATTTATTGCTTCAGTCCGGGCTGTGAAGCAGTGAGATGGAGCTTTCTAGTTAAGGAGAGCACTGTAGAATCATGGAATGGTTTGGGTTGGAAGGGACCTTAAAGACCATCCATTTGCAAGTCCCTGCGATGGGTAGGGATGCTCCCACAAAATCATGCTGCTCAGGGCCCCATCCAACCTTCCCAGAGGAAGCACAGCACAGGAACAAGGTTATCAAACCCTGTTTAAGCTCTGTTGGCTCCTCAAGCTCAGAGCTCTGGGACACTGAGCTATACTCAGCTTCAGAAAGAGAAAAGAAAAAGTAAATTCTGGTAACAGGCAGAACAATCAGAAAACCACAGTAAAATTTCTTTGCATGTGTTTTCAGTGTAGTTTGCAGAGTTTGCAGGACAAGCTATCATATGTGACACATACCTGATGTACTGTTACACTTTTTTTTGCACATTACTCTCTATTACATGATTAAACTCTAGGAAATAGCCACTAAAACAAGCACATCCAAGAGATAAAAGTAATGAAAGCTGAGTGTGGCTGGGTTTAATGATTTGCTTACAACAAGTTCCAGAATTCCATCCCCTTCCCCGCAGTCTTCCATCACGGTGGCTCCAAAGCCCARCTCCCGAATGAGCTCTGCAATTGCTGCAGGGTGAATGACAGCAGGGTTGTACCTCACTTCTGCCTTCCCTGCCATCAGGGCCACCAGGATCGAGTGTATCCCTAGGGAAACAAAAGTGTGAGGGCAGATCAGCCTAAGAAACATCCTGCATTTATGGTAACATGAGGGAAGAACACAATTTATTGAAATTGGGAAAGTTTCTGCGCTGTATACAAAAAAACCATTCCCAACCAACCCTGGCACCTCAGAGTAGGTGTGACAGATGAAAGCATCATTCCACATGAGCATCACATGCCTTTAACAGYGTAATTACAAACATTCTGTCCATGCTACATGAAAAAGGTTCTATTTCCACTTCAAAGAAGTTTTTCTAAAACACAGTGCTGTGTATTTCTTGGATTTGCATTTCCAGAAGTCTTCTTTAAGGGAGAACCTGTGTGACAAAGGGCAGATCTAACAGTGCAATCCTACTGTGCACTGAGAGGATTTAGACTCATCCATTTTCTAGGATGGAAAAAATGAAAATCCAGGCTAACTTGAAACCCAYCCATCTTCATTACAATAATTAAACACAGTCTGCATTAATGACTCTGTTACATCACAGTCATGCAGACATTTGTTCTGCAGATATAATCACAGACACCCCTGCTTGACTCGCAGAGCTAAAATTAACCTGTGTCCCTTTAATCCACTCACACTGTCYCTCCTCACAGTCCCCTCATGCACACATCTGCTTCTGCCTTTTAGCTGCACACCTGAGCACCTCCCTCCAGCAGGAAAGGGTTGGTTTACCTTCAAAAGGACCCATATTCTTTGAAGCAGTCAAAAGCCGCTGCTTTTGCAACAGCAGTGTCTGGGCAGCATGTCCCCAAAGCAGCAGGAATGTCCCTGTTCCCACCCTATGGACCAGAGGCAAGCAGGAACACCTGTCCTGACAGCCCACCCCTCAAAAACACCACAMAAGCCAGWTGGATTCTCCCAAACAAATGCTTRGAARCRTTAACAGAYCACRCTGACACACATCTCACCATCCTCTCGTCTCAGATTCCTCTCGATGTTGGCTACACACGAGGCACACGTCATTCCTGTCACCTGGACATAGCACTTGGAGATGGYTTTGCTCTCCTGCCTGCCGAGGTGGGCTGGTGGAGCTTTGGAGGGCAGCTCAGGCTTGTGAGAGTCCAGMTGTGCTTCAAGGGAGGGCTGAGCTTTGGCCACGGGGAGTTCTGCCTTGGCTGGAAAGGAGATGGCAGTTTGTGACATGGTGAGCAGCCACTGCAGTGAGGGGTGAGCTGCTCATTTAGACTGACAATGAAAATGCTAATTGCACAGCCTTGTCAGTCTGATCCATCCACCTGGCTGCCAGTTGAGGCAGCAAAAGAAAGCAAGACATGGTGAGCCATGTGAGGTGGGCCACTGATTAACTCACTGATTTGTTATTGTTTTTCCTTTTGCCTTTCCCCACTGTCTTTGTTCTATTACACATCCTTTGTCCTCTCCTGTAGGTGTAAGCAAAACCTCTGCTTTGTAACCTTAGCTTCACACACAGTTTTATACACTTTACCTGGAGCACAAAGCTACTAAGCAAGTGCTTTCTCAAAAGCAAAGTCAGTGTTTTGAACCCCAGAGAAAGGCTCTGGAACTACAGGCCTCTGCTTTTTACAGCCAGTCAGRGGGATGCTCTGTTTGTGCAGGAACAGCGTGAAAAGGATCGAATGTAAGTACACAACCACTTCTATTGACATAAAATAGCATTTATCTGACATATTTATAYTGCCATACACCTCAAACATTTGAACCAATCTGATGTATGAAAGGATGTGCACCTTATCTTTAATTATCTCATCTGCAGTGAAGATAAAAAGCTTCTCTTGGCAAGCACAAAGTGCATGTCAGCTGCTAAATTTCATCTTTGTAGTACCAAATCCTAAACAAAACTGCACAATTCTTGTAAATTCAAAAACATCTTGTGTGTCATTACCTGGAAAAGATGCATCAAATCCCATATCCTCTATTGAGGACCTCAAATCTTCTGGGYTTGTCTGCAGCGGGTCGTACTCTATGGTCCCATTTCCATTTGGGAGAGAGACAAGCACAGATTTCACCCCTGYCTTTTGGGACAGCACTCCCTCGATGGATTGCACACAGGAGCTGCAAGTCATGCCCTCKATATTGATCACAACAACTTGAGTCAGGGGCTGACCGGGATCCTTGGAAAGCGGGTGAGATTTCAGTGGAGACGCCAGCGTGGGGAAAAGCGCCATGTTCTCACACTCCTCAGCGAGGCTGACTCTGAAACTCTCTGGAGACACGTTCTCCACGGCTTTCCTCAGCTTTTCCATGCTAATTAAGCTCGGGTTGTAGCTGATCACAGCAGATTTGCTCTCCAATGACACCACGACACTCGTCACTGCCGGGAGCGCTGATACGGTGCTCTGGATGTTGAAGACGCAGGAATTGCAGTGCATCCCCTCGACTCTGAACACAACTGTCTTTGACCCAGRCCCGAGGGAGTTTTCTTTCTGTGATGCCTCAGAACTTCTGGGCTGAGCATTCTTCAGCTTCTCCAGGTCAATCCCACTGAGCCTCAGGGGTCTAGGCTGCTTTTTGAAGGATGCTGTGAAACCTGCCGCTTCAATCTGCTGTTTTATTTCTTCTGCTGCAATTAGATGAGGCTGGTAGACAACAACAGCTTCCTGATTGTCCAGGGACACTGGAAATTAATAGAAATAAGGGTGTGTCACTGCCCTGAGCATAGTAAGCACATCACAGGATCTTGTCAGAGCTTTCCAGCAACACTTTAAATGGGCAGAAATGTAACTGCAACAGAACGATTTCATTGCTTTGGTAAAGCTCAAACAACTTAGTTCTTCAACCAGTTTTTGTCTAGCACTACAACAATTCTCAAGTCCTCCTCAAATTTTTGCTCTTGCCCCAGGACTTTCACAAATGGCATCACTACTTACTGAATTTATCCTTTATTGGGGGTCTGTGGCAATATACTTATCCCAAAGCTAATTGCACAGGTAAGTTGGTCTTCCCTTTTAGATACATTTACATATATTTTATTTACATACTTATTTCATATGTATAATTATTTACATATTTAGATACATTTACGATACAAAATTTTAACTGGACAGAAAAGATTAACTATTATAATTATAATTTTAAAAAGACATCTGGTATTAGAGATTTCCATAACTAATAATAAAATTAAACCACACAACTCCTTCTGGCTCCCTACCACATGTAAAGCAACCACTGAACATYGTCACACATGTAAGAGCAACACCCTTCCCATCATCTGGGTTTCTTTCTTCACTTCTAGTCCACATTAAAGACATAATTAAATACCCAGTGCCACAAAGAGTCACTGTCACATGGAGTTATCTCACCTAAACTTGTAATGACATCAAAGAACAAACAGCATGGCCAGCTTCAATTTACATAAAACSACACTAAGGCTGTACCTCTAACCTGTTAAATTCCCTGTAATTTACCAGCTTTAATTCACACAAAAACACAGGGAGGTTTTACCTCTAATCCTCTGAATTCCCTGCAGCTTGCCCAGCTTCCCCTCGATGGTGCTGGTGCAGGAGTGGCAGGTCATCCCGTCGACTTTGAGGCGCAGCACAGCGCTGCTCGCCTGGGAGCAGCTGGAATCTTCCCAAGTTCCAGGCGCTCCCTCTGGCACAGAGATGTTTAAATCCACTCCTGGCACCATCTGGGTAATGTGCCTGCCATTGATGASGGCAGGGATGAAAGCCACCACTGCGGTTCTTTGATCAGAGGACACTTTCACATCCACGATCCCTTTGTTCCTCAGCAGCGTGGTGCAGATCTGCCTGGGCGTTAGGGCTGACTGGGCAGGGAGGGTGAGGAAAATTGTGTCAGGTAGAACAGGTTGTGGCATTGACTCAGCCAGGGTAGCATCAAATCCCATGTCACAGATGGCTTCCTGCAGAGCCACGGGAGTTTGCAGCTTGGAGTCATAGATGACCACGGCGTTCTTGTCCTCCAGAGAGACCTCGAGGGGATAAACAAAGCAAAATTTAGCAAAATGCAACACAAAAGGTTGAGAACTGACACTGCTCCAGACTAGAAATTGCTTTCACTTGCAAATATTAGCAATACTTGTCAAGTACAACTTTATCTTTCACTACTCACCTCAAAGCCACCCCTACTGAGTAACTCCTGCTCTCCTGAGCAACAACAGGGCTGGAAAAAACAGATCCCAGCCTGACTCTCASCTCCTTTACAAATCTGTCTGGCCACTTCTACTTACAACATCCAGACAGCACCAAGGCATTTAATGAAACTTCCAGAGCCAAATTCACCTGAATTAGGATGACTAACCCAATTCAATCCCTGGAGCAAAACAGCCYACAGAAGAAATCCAAATCTGTTAGTAGCAATTCTAATGCAGTTAGGAGTAACTGCCCTCAGGCTATAAGGATGGAAGAAAGCACTCTTTGTAAAAACCCACAGCTCTAAGTAGCAGTAAAGGAGCCCAGCACTTCCACGCAATGAAGGCACAGGCTGGTAACCTGCTGGGAGCAAAAACCTGCATCAAACTTCATCAAAACTCACTTCAGACASCCAGTATGTGACAAACATTAAAGCAGCTGTTTTTCCTCTCTCTGTACATTTTRGTGATCCAGAGTCATCCTTATTTGGTGATAACCTTTCCCATCTGATGGTACAAGTATCCTYAATTTAATTTGCTCCCAACAGATGATACAGCAAACACAGTAACTGCAGTTTCCAAAAGGAAAAAGCAATGCCTGCYAGAGGCCCCACACATTATCAATTCAATTCTATCTTTCCTCTGGGCAAAGGTACAAYCTAAAGACCACAGTCATGATTAAATTATATCGGTCAAATCATTTTAAGAACCACATTTCCTCATTTCTGTCTCAATTACGGGCCTTAGCAGAATTAGYAACATGGACATTTCTTGTTATCATTAGAGAAAAACTTAAAAGCAGCTGTTTGTCTGTATTAGTCATCTAACATTCATGTCCCTTGCTAACTCATAATCACTACACAAAACCCTTTTACTATACCCAGAGAATTTTCTGAATCAACTGATCTGGCCAGACTGAAGCTTTGATGCTGTAAAAAGGAAAATTACTAAATAGGACCTCTTAAACTTTCTTRGAGTCCTGCTCTACTCAGACTAAGGTTTTGCAACGTTATTTTTTGAAACAGAATTTAGCTCTGGAATGAGGTATTTACCCAAAAACCTAAATACAAAAGTCTTTAAACTGTCCTTTAAAAAATCTGTTTCATTCCTCATGTAAAAGACATTGAGGATACACGTTGTATAAATCTGCCTCTCCTATCCAAAGTCATCTCAGAAGCGTRTTCTCAGAAACTCACTGAGAAATCACAAGGCTGACAAAATGACACGTTTTGCTAGAATAGGAGAAAGGAAGGGTTCTGAAATCAGATTATTTGGGAGTTTTATTTTACAGGCTGCTTTTAGCCTTTATCTRGGCTCATGCTTGCAGACACCCAGTGATTTATCTGCCCAAGCACAGGGCTCTGCTCAGAGCTCCAGGGCTCTGTTGTCAGAGAAGAGACTCACATTAAAGCTGAAAAAAAGATGAAAAATTATCTGTCTTGTAAATATTCACCAATATTTGTGTGCTGCTTTTCACCAAAATTTGTGTGTGTACACAAACACCCATTTCAGGCCAAGTAGAACTGCTCTGAACTGTGCAGCACTTGCTCTGCAGGGGAAGGGCACCACAATGGGCCTTGCAAAACCTGCTACAGATCGTGATCAAAACCCCAAATTAAAACTGTGCCCAGTTCTGGGAAGGGAAGTGTTCACCTACAACAGGAACTAACTTCTGATAACACCAGGAAGATATTATTTTCTTTGGAGTAAAATCRACAAYTACAGAATGTAACMGGATGCTATCAGAACCTAGATACTMAATAAATAAACTTTTCCTGGTTTTAGGACTGTTCTTTCTATCACAGCTTGGGTCATAAAAGTCATAGGAGTCCTCCAGCTTTTAAATTACTTCCATTATTAAAACTACTGTAAAATGATGGACTGTGCAGTGATAACAAGCTCATCCTCAAATATTCTACAATCCAGTATTTTGGCCCTGACACAAAAAAGACCAAAAATGTTGGTATCTCCTCTGAGCTAAGAAAAAAAGTTAAGTCCAAGTCAGGCAAAAAAAAGCCTGAATTAGGACATACCCTGTCTTGCCTCTATTTTCTTTTTTCTTTAAATTTTTTCCCTCTTACTTCAGAATACTGAATTAATTGCAATGCAGAAAATTGATTAAGAGCTACAGCTTATGACTTAGCTCCCACTCCAGCAAAGCAAGCACTTGCTTTTCTCTTATTTACCACAAATACACTCATGGACTTCCAACATCAGCCTCCCATGAAACATACAAAATAACTCCCCCCAATTATTTTCCTCCCTTGGAGCACAATTTACCACAGTTTCTCATAAAGGACAAAGCTTGGCTAGAAACAGTGCTGGTGTCACTCACTTTGATGTTATGGATTCCATTCATCTGCCCCAGGTGCTGCTCAATGCTCTGGACACAGGAGTTGCAGGTCATCCCCTCCACACCGATGGCCACRGATTTTGCCTCCATCGTGAATTTCTACTTGAGTCTTCTCATTGCTGGTGGCTRAAAACAACCAAGACATCAGTTCCTAAAGAATTTCACAGAGATTAAAACAAAAACAGGGATGTATGGAAGGTGTCCCCATGGCAATGAGATGAGCTTTCCAAACCAAACCATTCTGGGCTTCTGGGATAACAGAGGACATCCTTCACCACAGGRGAATCTGGCAGACGTAAAAATCTGAGCAGACCTGAACAAATGGAAAACTTCACATATTTATTCCCCTGAATTTTCAAAAAGGGAAAGCATTCAGACATCTGTTATTTGATTTGGGTTACAATGGAGATCATTTAATCATTTAATTACATGGAGCAAGCTGTGACTCACTAGTGTGTGAGATTAAATTATAGGGAGAAGCGAGACAGAGAGAGGGACAGCAGCTCTTGGAATGCTAAAACGAGAGGATGGCACAGCAGCCACAATGGTACAGCTGATAACTGTGTTTTTCCACATTTCTCACTCATATATTGCCCTACATTAACAAAAACAAGTGATACTAAATTAGCCCAGGAAGCAAATCAAGCTTTTTCCCACACCTCATTCAGAAAGGTTTAATTTCTGCTCCTCTGAAGAGTTTCATYATTATTTTTGCTCATAAAACAAGCTCAGAAAAAAAAATTACTGAACCTAAATGAAATTAATTCGTAGAAATAATAGCTAATGCAAAGAACTTCTTTTGCCCAATGGATTAAGGGAGAAAGAGGGCAAAAGAAGCAGTTTCCAGATTTTTTCTGAATATTATAAAAAAAAGTAACGTAAGCTTTCATTGACAGAGAGGTTAGTGACCAGGAAAATGATCACAGTTAATGTTTGGCAGCAATGGAAGCAGCAGTAAAATCTGATGACTAAATGAGGAGCCAAAGYGAAGCACAAGCTCTACTTGTTTTCTTACCCTGAGGACTTATCTTGGAAAACTCAATTACTCTGATGTTTAATAAAATAAATTTTTCTTSCTCCTCAGTGACATTTCCAGACTGTACCCTGTTATAGAAGGCCTGAAGGGTTCTGGTTTCACTTTGAGAYGTGCCACAGACCATGTACGAATACAAGGAAGTTCCATCATGGAAAAGGGTTTACCTCCCTGATGCACAAAACTAAATGTTGAATTTAAAAAGAAGTGAAGACAGTATAGAACAGTGACCTTTCCAATAGATGAAATACATCTCATCTCTGCTAAGAAGAGAAATAAGACAACTCTGCCTGAGGAGTTATTACAGATCTCACTTCTTGCCTGCTTTTATAAGAGCTGAGTTAGTGGAAACACAGTATTTGTGTGTGAATATCCACACGTTGCAGAAATGTAGAACTGCCACCTGACAGAAGAATTATCAACCAGCAGAAAAGTGTATTTTAAACAAATTTCACACAGCAGGGTCTTTCTCAGGCTGATCTGCACATTCAGAGGTACAAAATATTTTCAAAACCACCAAGTTAGCCAAGAAAAYGGTTTCCTGTCATCCTATTGAAACRYGAYCCTCTSTGCTTCCCTCGGTTCTTCCCCAAGGAATGCTCAGTCCACACCCAGCAAACAGGGACATCATTGTAACTCCCCAGTYGGGGAGACACAAATATTCCCAAAAAAACTGAAGTACAAATAAAATTCTAAAAAGCACTTGACTTNCAATCTGCCCTCTGGTAAGGCTTGGAGAGAGGTGAATTTAAAAGCATTTCAGGTACACAACCAACCTGAACTGCCCTGACAACTGCACTGTCACTGTACTTTGGAAACAAAAGTAAGGTAAGGGGATGCTTTGCATGTGAGCTGCTATCTAAAATAATCAAAGGCTGGCAAGATGCTGCCTTGGAGGAGAGGTAACAGCTGTAATAGCTGTAAGGCAGGGAGAGCCTGCTGAGCTCCTGCCRTGCTTCAGTTTAAGAGACTCAGGCTACCGTACAATAATATCCATTTGTACAAAATCCAGGGTACAGTGTGAAAGGTTCTCTGTCAAACTAACAGCAGCCACACCTGYAGTACACTGAATTAACACTGGTTACAGTAACAATCAGCACTGCTRCCAAATGCCCAGCAATAGGTTAAAACCCAAACTGTTAAATATGTAAAAATAACATTAAACTTTTTTTTGCACTATTATTATTTCAATTTACAAGGACAAAGTATTTCTTCAATTTTCTCATGGTCTGTTTCCTTGCTCTTCTGCTGTTCATTCATAAACAGAACACAGAAAATCCTTTCCTGGAAGAGGCTGTAATTCAAACATGCAAAAACCATAAAGGCATAAGAAGAAAAAACTAAAATAAATTTATTTTTCCTTTTTTACCCCTCATGGCCCCAAAATACCAGGACTGAATCCAGACCTTTCATCAATAGAATTTATCTGTTGGACCAAACCATCTCTTCTTTTGCTCTCTGACTTCAAGTTAAGAATAACCCTGATCTCTGTGACAGGAGCATCACTCACAGCTCCCTGCTGGTAGGGAAGACAACCAACGTGGATTTTTATTTGTTTTGTTGCAAGTTGCTAACAGTTTTCTAACTAATTTTAAAAGCAGGTAGTTCTCTAAAAAAATTAGGTGTGTCCAAATCTAAACAAGCCATTTACCAGCAACACTGGTCTCTTCAAAAAGTTATTATTAACTTCTTATAACCTTCAAGAAGGTATTATTAACACTGAATTGTTAATGACCTGTTTCTCAGTCTCTGTCTTCTGCTCAGCCTTGCTGMAATTTTCAAAAGCCAAACTGTCTGGATTTCCAGTGTTCCTGATGTTTCAAAGGGATCTTGTTCTCAGAAGGAAATAGAGTCACTGTGTATAACCCTGTAAGTAGACACACAACCTTTTTACCTTCCCTTGCAAAATTCCCAGGACAAGAGACTAAATTCAAAGGCTAATAAATGCTTACATCTGAGACTGTATCCTACCTTGTCATACTCATTTATTTTCTAATGCTCAGCCTCCCTAACAAGTGCTTCAAGGTAGAGAGAATCTGGCTGAAACTTGAACAAATTATTTGCCCTATTTCCTCCTCTTGACAACTTTAAATGAAGAAAGTCCATGACTAAGCAGACTCAAAATATCTGTTACACCAATGAATTAGGACTGGATGCATACAAGAGATACACAAATATTAACAATTTATCCTAGTTCTCCTCAGTTGGGTTAACATTTTACCAAGTTTCCACAAAAAAAAGTCAAAAGATCTGCATGAGGCAATCACAATCCATGTATTCCACAGCAATGGCTTGTACAAGTTAGGATGGACTCATCCTTTTAAGTGAGATGCTAAGTTATGGATTACACASCTTTGAGAGAAGAAAAGAATGCTTTTACTCTCAATCAATGCATTGCTCCATCTACAGAACACCATAACCATCAATCAGTAAAGAATTTTAGGATGTGACAATASAAGGAAATGACAGTTCCAAGCTACCAGCTCTGTACTTAGTTTCATTTGCTTAAAGAAAGTCAGTGTTTCTAGGAAGTGAATGAAGCAACGGAAAGAGGGGATTTCTACTTCCAACAGAAATTTGGATCAGAAAGGAAAATTCAACAGTGATCAAGCACAAGGTGACTGAGACATTCATCTCTCTATGTTTTTGATGTGCTAACACCAGTCACTGTAAGCAAAATACCTGAAGCAAACAARGTTTGATGAAGTCAAAGTTAAGTAATTCATAAACCCACACCATTAAAAAAAGGAAAATTTAAAAAAAAAAATGAACAATGCAAAGAGGAAGTTACAACACCAGTAAAAACTCAGAGCCCCATTTAACCCTACAAAAGGCACTTTGGTGCTTCTAATATCCGAGCTAACCCAGGTATCACAGAGCAACAAAGCTCTGTGCCCCACAGACACACTTTGTGCCCATTTTGGGATTAGTAGGGATACARCTGGGAAGGACAGATGCTTGTGGTTACCTGTACAGCCCCAGTTTTCACCAGTTTATTTATAATTACCTTGACTTTATGGCAGAAATTAYAAGAGGGCACAGCTTGGCAAATATCACACAAATGCCAGCAAAGAATCTCTCAGATTTAATTACAGCCTTTGCATTTTATTAAATTTCTAAATGGCCAAGTGCTACTTAGCTCACTTCATTTATGGCAGCAGAAAGCTGAATTACTTATTACATTAAATGGAAAAAAGGTGCTGGTCCCTCAATGTCTGCAGAGACCTGTGGAAAAGAGCAAAGGGCAGGAAAGGGAAAAGCTGCATCATCTCATCCCTGGGGCTTAAAAAGCTGCTACAGGAGACGGACAATAGGGAAGAGGAAGGTTTTATAGGGTTCATGGSCAAACAGATACATCTTGAAAGTGTGACTAGGTAGCAGATATGCATGACAGGCCCATGGATAGATGAGGCTTAATCATTGAGAGAGAAACTGTGCATCTGCAATAAATGTCACAGCTACGTGACGCTCTAAATAGGTTGTAATTCATGTTGCTCAAGACTTTAACAAGCCCTGCTTGCTCAGCAGAGGATGGAAATTGCTCTCAGGGAATTTATTTCTATACCAACTGCAGGGGGGAAAGGAAAGTACACATTGAAAGCATTCTGTTTCACTCCTAACAAGAGTTTTACAGCACTTGAGACAAATTCTTAGCAAATCCTTTAACTTGATCTAGGCTTTCCATGACCTCTTCAAGTCAGATTTTTGGAGAATATGAATGTTTCCTTGGAAGAATCATAGGAAATATTATGAGTAGAATATAATTTATAACCCCTTGTTATGTGAGCATACCAAGGTCAGCTGGGGCTCCTCAGTCTCAAGCTTAGTCTCAAAGTACTTGGCAGAACAATGTGGAATGTGTTATACAGTGAAAATAAGGAGAGTAAGACAGTAAGCCACATAAAATGTTAGTTTTTACTTCCCTGCTTTGCCACCTGGGAAGAGAAAAAAACCTCAGGTCTTTTCTCTACTAAGAAAACACATCAAATTATCAAATTCTAATCAAGCCGTGTTTGTGCTCACAGGGTACATTGCAATTAATACAACTAACTCCTAGACTGCCAATTCTTCACCTATTTACATCCACATAATTCAGCAAGTATTTAAGTACAGAAACACAATCTTTGCTGACTGTGTGAAAGATTTTAAGCAACTTTACACTACTTATGTGCAATTTCCAGGACATTAATACAGGGAGGCAACAGTTAAGCTGTTTTGCTCTCACTCATTTCTGCGAGATTTCACCCCAAAGCATCATAAAAAGCTATTTTCCCTTTTCCAGAATATCCACACTATGCTTTGAACGAAAACTTTGGAAAAAAGTGCTTGTGCACAGAGTGTTGCCATCGTAAGGTGACATAAGATGATATAAGAATAAACACCAAGTAAGGTGTTTTAGAGGGACAAGCTGAGCAGAACTGGAGCAGTTCATGAGGTCAGACACTTTCTCTGGCCATTGACAAGAGCACAAGAGGATTTTTCCAAGTGAGCGCACACTTACTGGGTGCCAAGATCCGAAATGTGGATGCTCCCTGATAAGCACAGCCSGCTGCGCTCCCGGCCAGCCCCGCAGCAGCCCCCGGAGCGGAGCCGGGCTCCTGCCCCGCTGGAACAGCCGGGGGCTGCCGGGGCGCTGGGCAGCGGCTGAGCAGGAAGCGGCGCTCTGGATGCGGGGCTGCGCTGGGACACGGAGATGCGGCCGGGGCGCTCGGGGGTGAAGCGCCGGGGCACCCCGGACACCCTCACACACCTCACGGCCCCTCCGAGGGGTTGCACAAACCCCGGCCAAAACCGTGTTTTGGWGCCCKGACCCTCCCTGYAGAGGGTCYTGTCCTSYCCTCCCCTMCCCTCCCGTCGGGGACACGTAGCCCAATATCGCACACCCCCTCCCCGCCCGGGACACGGTGACAACGGGCCGGGGACAGCCCCGGAGGACGGGGAAAAGCGGGAGCCCCCAGAGCGGGTCCGCACGCACCTGAGGCCGCGGGAGCCTCCTCGGTCCGCACCCACCGAGGGAAGCGGGAGCCCCTGAGGGTCCGCACTCCCGGGGACAGCCCCGGAGGATCGGGGAGCGGGAGCGCCGAGGCGGGTCCGCACTCACGGAGGGAAACAAGCGCCAAGGCGGGGCCCCGAGGGAAGGGAGCCCCGAGCAGGGTCCACCCGCACTGAGGGAAGGGAGCCCCGAGCAGGTCCCGCAGGGACTGAGGGAAGGAGCCCCGAGCAGGGTCTGCCCGCACTGAGGGAAGGAAGCCCCGAGCAGGGTCTGCACTCACCGGGGCCGCGGGCTCCAAACGCCGCTCCCGGCCCGGGACCGCCGGGCTCTTCCCACGCCGTGCCACGTGACCTGAGGCGCTCCGCCCACGCGTCACGTGACACGGCTGGACACGTGACGGCGGCGGGGGAGGCGGGACCGCGGCTGTGATCGGTGTCGCCGTGTCGCGACAGAACCGTGCGGGAAAGGGATGGGAACTACATGGACTTCAGGATCCCTTCCAACCCGAACCGCTCTGGGATTCTCTGATCACCGAATACCAGCATAACCCGATACCTGTTCTTTTCCCACCTCATTTCTCGAATTACTTCCASCCCAAACAGAAGTTTAATGCAGAGATAGGGTTGGAACGAGATGGGCTTTCAGGTCCCTTCCACCAAATCATTCTGTAATTCTGTAAGAATTCATTAAGAAAGTCCCTGTTTCTCCTGCGATACTGCCTGCCCCCGTGGAGCCTCTCCGACTCAAAACTTAATTTAATTTCTTCACAACTCTCAGAGGTCACRGGGAGAAGCAGCTTCATGGCAAAGTGATTCAAGACATAAAAATCCTTTTGTGGAAAAAAAAGGACTTCAGCTTTGTCATTATAAGTCAGAGGTAAAGGCATGTGCAGTGGGGGTGCAATGAGGATGCAGTGAGGTTGATTCACACACACAGCTGGTTAAATGGACAACTCAACAATGTTCTGACTTGTCCTTTATCCACTACTGCCCTTTACAGCAATAACTGGGACTACATAAAATAACTTTATGTTTTTACGTTATTTCTTATACTTCAGCAGAAGCAGAGAAGAAACCTTGAAGAGCCAGACAGGTTTCTAGGTATGTTTATTAGACCAGGAATGCCACTTTACAAGTGGAACATATGCCATTACACGACCATTTTCTCAGTGAAAGTTTAGACCAGTTCATTAGAAGCAGAGGCTGTTACTCCCTCCATTCTGTTGGAGTGATTCTGCCAACAGGTGAAAAGCCCCACTCAAGGTTAAGCTTTGTGAGCACCTGTAAAGGGATAAAAYCCAAGATTATTAACTCTGAAATCAAAGAAACCTTTTAATAGACAGCTGTTTTTATTGTTTTCAATTCAGATTTCTTGTGTTAGAACACAACATCTCATTAATTTTCTAATTAAACAAGTGGAATATATTTATATTGAGCAGTATTTCAATATTTCAGTTTTCTTTTTCAAAATATCGTATTTTAGAGGRAAGAATCCAGAATGTAAATCCCCACCACCATATTGATATGTTCATCTAGAAATTTTGCTGCTGAAAGCTGTACCTGCATAGGTCAGAAACTCCAAGTAAAATAATGAACACTTGTGTTTCTCATACATGTTMAAATCAGGCAAATGGACTGACACAGAAATTTTATGTCACAAAAATCMTATCTATCACATCACATTTCACTTACATCAGAAGCTCCTAAATTCTGACCACTGAATTTATTTCAAACAGACAAAATGGAAAGTTTGCAGTTCGAGTCACAAGAGAGTGGTGAAAAAACCAACTTACATAGCCCCAGACAGTAGTGAACATGGTGGCTCCACCAAGGAGGACTAAGGTTCCATATTTATCATGGAAGCTCGGCTCATGCTTGCGATGAGCTTGTCTGACTGCAGTGTGCTGGATGCCACGAGCTGAGGAGTGTYAACAAGTACAGAAATCAACTCAAATATATGCTCAAACCATTCACAATCCCCATCTCCTACCAACAGACAGGTGCTAGTATTAGAAAACTAAAAACGCTGGAAAAGAAAATCTTTTGGACTTAGAACCCTGGAATGACTCCAAAACACAGGATATACACAAATCCTCTAATTTTTTCAKCTCTCTTAGTTCCTCTCTAGAAAGTTATTCCTTAAGTCTAATTCCAGTAAAAAAAAAAATCCTCTAAATTACCTTTTTCATTAACATGTTTTATTATTGCTATTTCTCTAATAAAATATTTTGGTTAGTGCTTAGCATTTTCAGATTTCTATATGTAAATACCTATCCTGGCAGTATGTGTACCCAACATAAGCTCACCATCAAATTATGGGGTAGAAGATAGCGGGTGTGGGTAACACCTGCTTCATTCCCTCGGGATTTCTGAAGAAAGGGGAGGGAGGTGAGGAAGGAAACAGCAAAATCCCATGGGCATGAGATAAATAACAGAGAAAAAATACACAACGGTACCTTAAGATGATGTACGTTATAAACGTACACCATAAAAGGTACATTTATTAAAGAGGAGGCAACAGTGAAAAATCAAACCAGTGACTACAAYAGATAGATTGCCTGGTGGTTCTGTACAAAGCATTTGATGAGAGGGTGATGTATGCATAAAGATATTACAAAAGGAAACCTTTTAGTATCAGGTCTATGGTTTGCATTTTTACCCAACTATGACTACAAAAGGTAATGGTGATACCCATATTTTTACTACATCCCTCGCATGCTGTGAGGCTGCACAAGGTGTTTCTTTAAACATAAAAAAGCCTAAGTATCTATCGAGACACGTTTATTTTAGATGCCCGCCCCTCGGGATAAGCACATCGTGACCCAGGACCAGAGGAGCAGACACTGCAGGGTCTCTATCATTGAAGGGCTAACTTTAACCTTGAGTTTAAGGTCTGGGTATTGACTACACCTTGCCACCGCAGGTTACCAGGCCAGAATATGCCTTTAGGTACTAGGAAAAAAAAACCAAGGAAAGGAGTCCTAGGTAAAAAAGCAACTAGGAGATAAAATACACTGAAGAAAARGGGAAAAAAGGGAAGGCGAAGGACGCCAGAACTGCCCGCAGCCCCTGAGGTGCCCTCACGACCCTCCCCGGGTGCACAACGAGCAGGGGGCTGTGAGGGACAGCCCGGACAGGGGAGGGCACAAACCGGGGAGACACCTCCTGAGGAACCCCCCACACCCCGAGAGCCGCCCCTGTCCTTACCGACGAGGCTCCGCGCAGCCCTGGCCACCGGGAACATGATGAGAACCAAACGCGGTACCCTTGACGCCGGTGAAGAACAAAATGGTCGCGGCGGAAGTGGCGGCGCGGCGGGGGCCTGTGGGTAACGCCGGGCTCCTCCTCGCTGCGGCGGAGCTCCGCAGCCGGGACCGGCCGGGGCGGCAGTTCTCACATGTACAGCGGCTCCTCAGTACTTCCCGAGCACAGACAGGCYATCCATAAAGGACCGAAGAAAACGRARAAACGGGCACGGCCGTGACGACAGCATTAAGGCTGTCCCGGCCATAACTGCAAACGCAGTGTCAGGATGGCCGAGTGGTCTAAGGCGCCAGACTCAAGGCGTTCCGCGCCTTCCCGCGGCGGGTTTGGGTGTTCTGGTCTCCGTATGGAGGCGTGGGTTCGAATCCCACTTCTGACACCACTTTTTTTTTTTCCCCGTGTATTTGGGTTAACTTCAATTCTGAAAAAGGCGGGGTTGATAAATTCCGCGATTTTAGTGCAAATGGAAATTGGGAATAATTTTAATTGTGTCTTTGAAGAGGCAAGCAAATCCTTAAGTGTAAGCAAATCCCCATCTCTCTCTGGCGATCCTGTATCACAGCCATCAGCCACCACACACCTGCTGAGGAATTCCYCAGTGCATTTGGATTTTAACAATATTTGTAACATATGACCCAGCAATACATGTGCGTGTGTAA